GAGTAGTGTGGTCAGAAAAAGAATGACTCCCAAATGATGTCTTAATTCCCAGAACCTGTGGATATGTTACTTTACATGGCAAAAGGGAATCTGCAGATCTGACTGGGTTAAGGACCTTGAGATGGGGAGATAATCCTGGATTATCTAGGAGGCCCAGTCTAATCACACGAGTCGTGAAAATCAGGGAACCTTTCCCTGTTGTGTTCAGAAGGAGCAATAATGATGGAGCAAGTGTCACACAGATACTATTTTACTGGCTTTGAAGATGGAAGAAGGGGGCCATAAGCCAAGGAATGTGGGCAGCCTCTGCAAGCCATAAAAAGCAAAGAAATGCTCCCCCCTCCTCCAGCTTCCAGTTAGGAACACAGCCTTGCCGACACCTTGATTTTGGCTCAGTGAGACCATGTCAGATTTCTGGCCTCCAGAACATTAAGATGATGAATTTGCGTTGCTTATGCTACTAAGTCTGTGCAGATTTCTTACAACAATGATAGTAACTAAGAGAAGGAGATGACCTGGTCTTCCCATTCTGGAACGAGATTGCTCCCTCTAAACAGACACATTCATCCCTGCTCCTCTCCTCCAAATACAATTAAATTCCTGGGAATTATCCAACAACAAACATTGGTGAAAGAATTCTGAAAGCTGGAAAGGAAAAGGCAGCCAGGTAGTGAGTTCCCTGGGTTTTCTTTTTTATCTCCCATATAACCCCAGTGAAGCGCAGGAGAAGCCTGAAAACTGGAACTGCCAGAGACAGAGAGAGAGACAACCCCCAAAGCCTCGTCCTTTTGGCCAAAAGACTAGGGGCGGCCTACCAGAGACCTAGCAGACAGCCCCCCAACCTCTGCCCCACAACTGAGGCACCTGTGGGATGGAAGTCGATCTGGTGCAGCTGTAGCATGAAGTTGGGCTGTCCCAGCCCCCACCTGACAACTGGGTAACTGGAAGTGGTTTGACCCAACTACCGGGGCCCCGCGTTGGAGCCCTGTCTCCCTCTGTTGGCCTTCTAGTGGCATAAGGAAACACAGGCCTAACAACTGCTCCCTCACTTCCCTGATGGCAAAAAGTGGCCCAGGCAGCCAAGGGAGACCCTTTCTCTGCAGGGAACAAACAGGGATTGAGTGGGAGTTACGGCGGTGCCAGAGAGCAAAGCAGGCCAGGATAGCAGTACCTGGGCTCTGAACCTACACTGTCATGGGAATGAAAGCCTGCAAACGTAGGCCAGAATCCACTGGCACGCCGAACCGAAATAGGGCGCTTGCCTGCTGAAACTGAAGATTCGATATGATCACGTCTACTAGCACAACAACAAAAGGTCCAGGGTGCAATAAAGAAATACATCACTTGTCATACCAAGAACCAGTAAAAACCACGATTTGAATGAGAAAAGATAATCGACTGAATCCAATTCCAAGATGAATCAGATGTTGGAATTATCCGACAAGAATTTTACAAGGCAGTCAGTATAAAAACGCTACAGGAATTGATTATGGTTTCTTTTGAAAATGAATGAAATCCACAGTAAGAAAATAAAACTCATAAAAAAGAACCAAATAGAAATTACAGAACTGAAAAACACAATAACTGATGCAAAAAAAACCTTATAGACAGACTGAATACTATAATAGAGAGAGACAAGAATCAATGAACTTGGGGACAGATCAATAGAATCTACTACTTCTGAAAAATAGAAAATAGATGGAAAGAAAATGAACAATGTCCCAGGGATCTGTGGGACAATGACACAACGACCTAATATTTGTACCACCTGAGTGCCAGAATTAGAGGGGAAAACACATGGACCCAAAAAATATTTTAAGAAGTAATGTCTTCAGAAACTCAATGAACCTAATACAGGGTAAACCTAAACAAATTCACACTAAGACGTATAGCAAGCCCTTGAAAAGTAAGGACAAAGGAAACAAATCTTACAACAGCCAGAGAAACAATGTATTACCTACTAAGGAACACTAACTCAAATGACAGGAGATTTTGTATCTGAAAACATGGAGGACAGAGGGAAGGGGCACATTTTTCAAATGCTGAAAGGAAAGACCTGTCAGCTATGAACACTAGAACACAAATACTGTATCTGGTAAAATTACCCTTCAGAAGTGAAAAGGAAATAAGGAAATTCTCTGATGAAGGAAAACTGTGAGAATTCACTGCTAGCTGACCTCTCCTTAAAGAATGGCCAAAGGAAAGAATGTCCAATTCATCCTTTTGTTGCTTATGTTTGATGTCCGATCTAAATCTAACCAATACTAAAATAATCAAAGTCAAACAGAGTATGTTCCCTGAAAGCAATAATCAAACAGAAAGACAACTGGAAAATCTCCAAAACAGCATGTATCTAAATAATCTAAGAGTCAAAGAGGAAATCTCAAAGGAAATTGAAAAAGCACCAAAATTAAGTTAAGTACACTAAGTTAAAAAAGCAAAAACCAAATGAGAAACACCCAAACTTTGTGAGATGCAGCGTAGGCAGTGCCCAAAGGGGAATTTTTAACCCTAAATTCTTACAATTTAGAAAAAAAGGAAATAGCTCAAAATCAACAACCAGAGTTCCTTTCATAAGAAAGTACAAATAAGAGCAAAATGAACGCAACTGAGAACAGGAAAGAAATAAAGATAACAGCAGCAAGGTGACCTTTACAAAGGCACCCTGCATGGATACACTGGACCTGAGACCCCGGAAAGGGTAGGGCTGGGTCTGTATAGTCAGACTGGTTCTGTGGGTAGAACATAAACAGGAATGAAGAAGATGGGGTGGCTGTGAAGGCCCCAGTCTTTTTCTCTTCTCCTGGGGTTCAAGTCAAGTGGAGCCCTTTGGTTTGGGGAGATTGGTCCTCATACCACCCTGTCCCTTGAGAGGTAAACGGGCTCAGTGGGGAGACAGCAGATGGGAAAGGCCTCTGACACCAGGTGCGGGGCTCAGCCTGGAGGAGCCGGAGGACGACCTTTCTTTGTTGCTTATGTCTGATGTCCTACCTAAAATCTAACCAATACTAAAATAATCAAAATCAAACAGAGTATGTTCCCTGACAGCAATAATCAAATAAAAAGACATAACAGAAAGGAAATAGGAAAATCTTTTTGGGGGGATGCTTATGCAACTGGCTGCTTGGGGGACCAGAATGCTAGGTCAGGGGCTGCTCCATGTGGGTAACAGGTGTGTTTCCAAGGTCAGGACCGAGGGCCAGAGGTTCATCACAAACCCTTCCTTGCTGTAGACAAGACAGTGGCCTGACTCTCAGGGGCAGAGAGATTTCCTGAGAGGCCCCAGCAGGCCCTCAGCCTCCCCAAGGCCTTACTGCGATGCAGCGATCAGCCATGCGGGAGTTGTAGTGGACGTGCAGAGATTTCTGATTTACAAATCAGAGCAGAATCGGGTTCTCCCTGTAACACAGTCTGCCTCCTGGTGTCTGGAGTCCCATAGAAATGGGCGACCTTTCCAGCAGCCCCTCCCAAGGGTGTCCTCCCTGCTGCAGCCCTGGAATGACAAAGCTGGGGCGCTGTCCGTGGTGCTGACAATCCCGCTACCCAATGGCTCGGGGGACCCGATGGTCCAGTGGGGATCAAGGCACTCTTTCACCTTAGCAGATGAGGACTAATGACAAGCAAGAGGTGGACAGGGCTTCAGGGAGCGTGGACTGGCCCTGTCTCCACCCCTCGAGGGCAGTCAGGGGCTATGGGCATCACCGCAGGAACTGCCCCACAGTCGGGGTGACCAAGTCCAGGCTGCCCAGGAGCAGTTAGGCCAGCAAGATGATGAGCACGGCATTGAGAGGAGCAGAGGACGGAACGTGGGCCCTCAGTGACGGCACAGCCTTGTCCCCCACGTGTGTGAATATGTTGCATGATAAGGAAACTTACACACTGAATTCGGGCCAGTGATTGGCAGGTGGCAGTGGTTTACCCAGTGGGCCTGATATAATTACAAGGGTCCTTTCCTGTAGGTGAGGGAGGGAGATGGCAGCGGGAGAGCAGGTAGGAGACGTGGGATGGAAGCAGATCACAGCCTTCAGGCTGCTGCACTGCTGCTCTGAAGAGGGAGGAAGGGGCCCCAGCCCAGGAATGCAGTTTATAGGCCAAGGAAACGACCCCAGAGAGAATGCAGCTCGGGGGACATCTCCATTTGTGCTGAACTGCACATGAAGTTTGTCGTGATTTGTTTCAGTGGCAATAGGAAATCAACAAGACGCGTTGCTCTGCCTAACCCAACACGGGTGCATCGGGATAAGGAGCATCTGGGCTAAATGGGGATGTGACACTTTGTAGGTCATTTCCTTACCTCTCGCCTCATGCAAGGACGCTCGGGCAATGGGAGAACCTTCTTGGAGACTGTGGGTTCTGCGCCTCGGTGCTCAGACCCTACATGGGAGCAGCACCTGCCCCTGGTCCTCAGGGAAGGACTGGGAACTGCGGGCCCGGATGTGTGGCTGGGGCTGCAGCTGAGGCCCAGTGGGAGGAGGCCCGCGGCCCCGGTGGAGGAGGGACACTGGCCCTGTGCCGGGGAGCCAGGGAGGGTTAGTGGGGGAGCCCTCCCTCTGGGACATGGGCCCACATATGTGGTTGGACGCATGTCTCAATGAGGTCCACGTCAGGGAGGAAAGGGGAAGCGGATGGGAAGCAGGGCCGGGAGCACCATGCTCAGGGCAAAGAGAAGCTGCCAAGGGGAAGTGAGTGTGCCAAGGTGTGGGTCCTGCCCATGGCTGCTGCCCGTGGCTGCTCCTCTTCCTGCGGACATCAGATGGCCCCGTTCTGTGTACCTGAGACCCAGTGTGTGTGTCCAAAGGGGCAAACACTGGGAGGTGGCCACGGCCCGGGGTCCTGAGCAGGCTGCGGATGGGGGGTGCGCCCCTGGCTGGGTCAGCTCTTGTGATCTCTCCCTTTCCTGTTAGTATGGCCCCGCCCCTTCTGCACCCCTCACCCTCCTCCTTCCCAAGAACAGAGATAAAATTACCCGTGGGTGACTCAGGAGAGAAGGGACCAGAGTTTCAGGTGAATTTCTGCCAAGACAAGTTCCCATTCAGAGCAAAAGACAAAAGAGGTGAAGGGTCCTCTTTATTCACACCCTCTCAGGTGGTGCAGGAGGGTCAGGTCACGATCCCTGGGAGCTCCCCCACTTCCTGGGGGGATGGGAGCCTTTGTCTGGCCCACCCAGGAATCAGGGCAGCCCTTCGGGGTCTGCAGAAATCAGGAGAGTCGGGAACCTGGCTTCGGATCCCTGAATATCCCCAGGCTTAGAGCTGATTTGCTCGCTCAGGCTCCAGCTTGTGTCCCTAGCCAGGGAGTGGGGTCAAGCAGGCCCTGCCACAGCTCTTAAAGAGCAGCCGACGGAGGAAACTAAGAAGCCACATCTGCATTATGGTCGACGCGGCAGTAAATGTTCATGTCGGGGAGTGACAGACACTGTAAAAGAAGAAGAGGCCAAACAGTCACCAGGAACCTTTGCAGAACCTGTGCAGCACCTGCCAGTCCCTGCGTCCACCTGGGGCTGCTCTAGGCAGGACCGGGCTGGGCCAGGGGGTTTGACCCCCAAGTCCTCCCTCCTCCCATCACCTTCTGTTTCCCTTTCTGCTGTCGTTTTCTGAACCTGGTAGATCAGCAGGGGGTGGGCTGGGGGCATCTGGGACCCTTGCGGCTGTGGGACCAGAGCATTCATTGACCACAATCACCTCATAGGAAGACGACAAGGATGTCACTTTCAGTGTCCCATTTGCACAGTAGAAAAGCCCCAGTCATAGCAATCAGGCAAGGAGGAGAAATGGATGCATCCAAATCAGAAAGGAGGAAGTACAGTTATGTACATATTTTGGCAGACGGCATGAACTTATACGTAGACGACCCCAAGGATTCCACAAATCTGGTAGAACTAACAAACACATTCGGCCAGGTTGCAAGACACAAAATCAACATGCAAAAATCAGGTGTGTTTCTCCACACAAAAATGAACTATCCAAAATGGATATTAAGAAAATAATTGAAATTACAATAACTTTGCAAGGAATAAAATACTTAGGAGTAAATTTAACCAATGAGGGAACAGACTTGTGTAGGGAAATCTAGCAATCACGTGGAAAGAAATTTACAAAACCACAGATAAATGGAAAGACATCCCATGTTCACGAACAGGAAGATGTACCATAGTTAAGATGACAATACCACCAAAGAGACACACAGATTCAATGCAATCCTTTCCAACATTCCAATGAAATATTTTGTAGAGAAAGAAATTTCCAAAAACTCGCACAGAATCTCAAGGGATCTCAGATAACCAGTTCCAGACTCAGGCCCCATAGAGGCAGGTGGGGCATTCTGTCCTGCTGTGTGATAATGACTGACCAGACACACTAACCCCGTGAATGGCACTGCAGGGACTAGGAATCCAGAAATGAATGAGGGGGACAGACAGGGAGCAGGAGGTGGTGAGTACATGAGGGAAAGCTCTACCAGTCAGTCTACTGATTGTGAAGTACAATTCACCCCCCACCCCCCACAACACCCAGAGGTCAGAGAGGAATCACGGCAGACACCAAGCTGGACAGCTGCTGTTGTACTCAGAAGACTTCCGTGTAAGGCCTGTAGGGTGTAGTATCCTGCGTCCTCCTGGGTGACATCCTGGAACAACAGGGATCCATTGGGGTGTACTGTCTCTCGGCCGCTGTATGCGATCCCTGGGGTAACTGCTCGTGTGTTTATTACATATGATACAATTGTAGAGTCGAAATTTGTATGTTCCCCTTTGTACCAGGCATAGCCTGGAAGACTCTCAGGAGGATTGTGAGGAAGCAGAAGAACATCCTGCCCTTGGACAGCATTGGGCGGCACCGACTCCACAGTGAGCTGGGCAGTTGTGGGCAGGTTCCAGGTTAAGAGTGAGACTAGGAGGGAAGAGGGAGAGATCCATCAATATGGGGACCTATTATTGGGATAGAAAGATGAGGCCCTGGGTCCTGAGCAGGTCTCTTCATCCCTCAGCCTTGGTATGTGTGTGTGTCTCCTACTGGTCAAGGTCAGGAGCACGACCACCATGACTTCAGCCCCTCGGCCCCTCTGTTTGCAATGCTCTTCCCAGTGTCCGTCCGGTTGGGTCCCACACACATTGAGGGCATCCTTGGGAGACACCTGCCCTGACCACCTCCTCTGAAGACCCTCTGTCTCCACTCTCTGACTGGCGCCTGCTCTGTTCCCTCCACGGCCTTGTCTGCCCCTGACACCACATCCTAGATCTCCCTGCGTGTCTGCCTCCCTCCCCGTAGAACGCGAGCCCCAGGAGGCAGGGCCCGCCTGATTTGGCTGCACCCAGCGGGGGAATAGGCTGCAGGTACCCAGGCGGCAATGAATCAATGTTCCCAGGCCTTCTGTGTCCCTCCTGGGGCTTATATGAGAAAATCTGAGGTTGGTGAGAAAGAGCGATATTTATTAGCCTTTCGTTATGGTTTTATTTTAAATTTAGTGTCACCTCACATTGTTATTTTTCTTCTCCGTTTTCATAATTCAATACTCAGAGATGAATAACCTGTAAACCTCACAGCAGTTGAGATTTCCCTGCCCCTCACCACTTCTGGACCATGAACCCTCCTGCTGCTGAGCCGCAGCCCCTCCCGCCCCTGGGCCCCTGTCCCCTCCGCTCAGGCGCAGAGGGAGGCCGCGGCCCCTCTCGGAGCCCTGTCCGCCCCCGGAGACCCCAGCCGCTCTCTGTCTCCCATCCCGCCGCCCACTCCCCGGGAATCGTGCCCTCTCACCCGCCAGCAGGAGCCCCCTGCCAGGGGAGCGGCCCTCGCGGGGGCAGGGGCTGCGGGGGGCGCCAGGGTGTCCGCTGCCGGTCTGTCCCCGCCTCTGGGAGAAGAGCTTCTGCTCCGCCGGGACCCCTGCCGTCCCCAAGCGCCGGCTCTGCCTGCCTCCCTCCCTCTGTCCTCTTGGGGTGGGGCGCTTCCCGGCGTCACGTGGGCCGGGGGCGGGGTCTATCCCGACCCTCCCTCTCCCCGCCCCTCAGCCCTGCCTCCCACCTGGTTATGCTCCCCCTTGTCTACATCTGGCTGGGGGATTCCTGAGGCCTCTTCATCTGTGACTCCCCAGCACACACGCTCACACAAGCACGCCCTTGATGGAGAAGCACAAGCCTGTACTGTTGGTTTGGGTGCACAGTCAGCCTCCCCTCAGTCCTCCCACCTCCGCATCAGGCTTTTCCTTCCAGAGCAGGAGCCTGGGGGCTACATCAGGACTTCTTGTCACAGGATGTCCCCGCTGTGCATCGGAATCATCCGTGCGACTTGACAACACTTTCAGACGCCCAGGTGACAACCTTAGAAATGCTGCCTTGGGAGCTGCGCAGGTGACGTGGATGCTGAGCCGGGCTGAAGCCCCGTGATGTGCGGAGCGGGACATCCTGTCCCCTTCTTCTGCGCTCAGGGAGGCTGTGCAGACCCTATTCCAATGCAGTTTCTGACTCGGCAGGTGTGGGGGGACCAGAGTCTGTGTCTTAATAACCACCAGAGGATGCTGGTCACATTGATAACCACACTGTGGATAACAAGGCTGATGGAGACCCCCCTCCCCCTGCGAGGACAGCTCGCCCACCCACCCGTGTGACCTCTGCTGTGTCCTGACCTTGGTTCTGTCAACACCATACACACAGTCCCAGGAGTCCCCAAACCCAAGGGATTATTTCCCTTGGAACACAGAAATAGAGCTGGTTACCAAGGTCTTCCCTCTGATCTTAAATGCTCTGGGAGGAGACGCCCAGCAGGCAGGTCAGAGAGGAATGTAGGGCAGGAAAGAGGCCAGCTGGGTGATGAGAGGGGAGGGGTCCCACCCTCTGTGCCTGGGCGTCAGCAGCCTGGCCTCTGACCCCGGGCACAGGCCCAGGACCCGGTGTCTGAGGAGTGCAGGTCCTGGGTGTGAAGAGGGAGGTCCCCTGCGTGTGGTGGGAAGAGAGGACAGTGGTGGGAGGCTGGGTGCTCCCTGTTCCTGGGGGTGAGGACCGAGGGAGACCCTGCCTCTCCGTGGCTACTGGCTGAGCCGTGGCACTAGAGCCTGTCGTGTGCTCCCGGGACATGTTGGGCAGCCCGCGTCCTCTGCCTGGTGGACGTCCCGGAGGTCACTCACCCTGCACTCACGGAGTCACAGAACTGAGGAGCTAATTATAATGGGGAGAAGGGCCATGGAGGGAAAGTGTCTGGAGCATCTGGGGCATGGAATGGAGTCTCGCCTGATCTGGAGGTGCATGGAGCACCCCTGAGAAAGGGACCTTCTGGCGAGACCAGGAGTGAGAGTGGACATTTGCCCCTTGAAGGAGGGAAGCTGTGGAGGGAGGAGCTGCCCGCAGAGGGACCCGTCTTCAGGTGGGCAGATGTCTGGCTGGATGGAGGGGCTGACGGCGTCCAGTGTGGGAGCTTGGAGAGCGAGAGGACTGTGGGCTCAGCAAGGCTAGCACGGGTCAGCCCTGCTGTGAGAGGCTTGCTTTCCTTTTTATAGGTCCTTGAGGTGTTCATGTTAGGGTCTTTATTTCAGATCATTTTCTTTTTAAATGTAGGCATTTATTATTGGCACACATTTCCCTCTTAATAGTGCTTTTGCCCAGTCCCATAAGTCTGGGTATGTTGTATTTTTGGTTTCATTAGTATAAAGGTATTTTCTAATTTTCTTTCCACGCTGCGGTGGAGGGGTTGTTTTCACAAAGGTTTTTACAAAGACAGCTTCTATGATATTCTGACACAAATTCTTTGTACATAAGTGTGCATTTTTGTACACTATATAGCTAGGGATGGAACTGCTGGGTCATTAAGGTACGTGTATCCTCAGCTTTATTAAACAGTGACAAATTTTGTCCAAAAGTTAAATCATGCTTAGTCTATTCTTTCTTTTATTTATTTTTATTAAGGCATCATTGATATACACTCTTATGAAAGTTTCACAAGAAAAATAAAGGACATTTGGGTTCCCAGCCCCCTCCACCCACAAACCCACGAGTCAGGGCCTCAAGCATCCTCGCACCTCAGGATCCCAGCACCTTTATCGTTGGAACCTGCCCTTCGGTACTCACCTCCGCTGAGACGAATGCAGCCACTGTAACATTGAGTGGTGCCCTTAGGACAGGTGATATTTTTAGCATTTTCTGCACAGGTCCCAGAGACCTCCACACAGGCAGGACACTGCAGGTCTCCTGGGGCAGGCACAGCTGGGGAGCAGAGAGAAAGCTGGGGGTGCACAGCTCTGCAGCCACCTACCCTGAGCCTTGGAGTCTCTGTGACTCAGGGGCCCATCGCTCTGTCCTTGGGATCCGATATCTGGATGGGGGAGGGAATTCAGCAGGACGCTGGTGCTGTTGGCACTGTTGCAACAACCATCAGAGGAGCAGAACTGGGCGTAGGAGGCAATGAACACGCCGGGCGGCCCCGTGTATGGAGAGTGGGTGCACGCTCCGTCCGGTCCAAGCTGCAGCCTTTGCTCCCCAGGATGAGTGACGTGTGTCCTGAGAGTGAGACGGCGAAAGCTGGGCTGGGAGGGAGGCTGAGCCCTGGGTTCTTCATCACCAGCAGGCAGGCAGAGGGTGGGCTCAGCATCCCTGATTACAAGAGCCCAGGTCCTGCTGAGTGTGGGGTCCAGGCTGGGGCCGGTGCCTGAGCCCTCTGCGAGCTCTGCCACCTCTCACGGTGTCACTCAAATGTCACCTTCGGAGTGAGCCCCCCCGAGCACCCATTTTCAAATCACAACCTTCATCTCACTCTCCCTTTTCCCTCCCTGCTGCATCTCTCTCTCCACAGCTCTCACCTGCCCATCCATATCTTACGTCTTTGTTCCTTGTTGTTTTCTACTATCCTCTGTGCTTAAAGCTGCAACGAGGCACGCACACTGGGACCTGAAGTGCCTACAACATGCCCTCCATACATTAGGTGCTCGGTAAACCTTGAGTGAAGGTTTACTTCCCCGAGGTTACTCTGGTGGGTGGCTCTGTGCTCAGCCCTTCCCCTGGACCAGCCCCTATATCCTCACCATCACTCAGCCAGGCAGGAGGTATTCTTGCCATCATCACCTTGCCCTGTTTTCAGACTGGGAAACTGAGGCACAGAAGAGCAAGAGTTGGGCTTAGAACTCAAGGCCTAAGGGGAATCGGGCAGGAAATGCATGGGACAGAATCCAGGGTGGGGAGACCCCAGCCTTGTACAGCGAACTCACCTACATCTATGAGCAGGAGCGTCTCCTGACACACCTCCGCAGTATCACAGGTCTGTTGCCTCTGTGGAGCCATTTGACAGGTTCATGAGACAGGTTATGATGAGTCCACTGCATGTTTCCCTGGGGACAGGTCAGTAAACCTGAGGAGGAGGAATACCAGGGCCTGTTCCAGCCAAGGGCCCAGCCACGTCTGTCCTTCCTGGTGTCATGCTTGGAAAGGTGATCACATCCTTGGGTTGTAGTCCTGGTGACCTGGCCCCAGAGTCCCCTAATCTCACATTGATAAAACATCGGAAGGCAGACTTCCACTCCCATCCTTTAGGCTGTTTTGGTTCAAACACCCGCAGAGAACTTCACCTGACCTGACGCTGCTGGAGGAGGGCTGCTTCTGCCTTTGGGATGAGAGAAACTGGGGCTCTTTCTGAGCCTGAATCTGACTAACTCGGCTCCCCTTCCCGGGCATCAAGGTCCTCACCAATGAGGACAAAGAGGAAGGAAGCCTGATGCCATGTATCTTTCAATGGGAAACACTATATTCCTAACAAAAGTACTCCATTGCCACCTGTGCACTGGCCATTTACTCGGTGCCCAGCTGCCCCGCTCCCTGGCTTAGCCCATATAAGCCTCCCAAGGGGCTCACTTCACCTGGACTCCATCATTCCTCACAGCCACTCCCATCGCCGTGCCCATTTTCAAGATGGGAAACAGAGGCAGAGGATGGTTACGGTGCTTGCCCACTGCCCCACCACTAGTCTCTGGCAGAGCTGGGCTCAGAACTGGCATTCTGGTTCCTGGGGTGAGTGATGGGCAGACAGGTGGATGACCACCCTCGGCTTCCTCGGCCCCTGTGGGCCTCAGGGGTGCAGTCGCAAACCTGTGAGCCAGGACCTTGTGAGGGCCAGCCCATGAGCCCCACGCAGGCGTGCCTCGGTGCAGAAGCTCCTCACCGAGATGTACCAGCTGCAGACGTGTGTGACCTTCTCAACAGCCCCATGAAGGTGGCCACTCATTTCCCCACTTCACAGACCACAAACTGGCCCGAGCCTGGGGCGTGCTCCCCAGCCCCCATCTTCCCCATTTGGGCCACAACACCTCCTTCTTGCACTTGCTCATGGAAACTGCTGGAGCTCTTGACAGTCCCTTTCTCTCACACCCCACGCTACACCCATCAGCAGATCCTTGGCTTAAACTGCAACATACTTCCAGAACCACTTATCAACTACCTCCGCGGCTTTCTCCAGGGTCCCAAACCCCTTGGTTCTAAGGTCTCCCACCCTGTCCCACCTCCCCCTCTCCCACCAAGCAGCCAGAAGGATGCTCAGAAAAGGTAAGGCGATTCATGTCTCTCCGTTCAGAAACCTCCAGTAGCTTCCCATCCTGCTCAGAATAAAAATTCTAAGTCCTTAAATGGCCCGTAGGCCCTCCTTGCTTGGGCACCACTACCTCTCCATCCACACCCTGCTCTGCTCTCCTGGTGACACTGCTGGAGCCACCCTGGCCTCTGGACTCTTCCTTGAACACACAGCAGGCGCTGGCTCACCCCAGGGCCTCTGCATATACTCCCCTGCCCCCAGCTGTCTGGATCATCCCATCCTCCCTGAACTCAAAGAAAGAGGCTCAGAGGCGTATTGATCCCCAAAGCCCGTTCAGTAACAGAGCCCAGCCAGGAACCGCATCTTTCCAATTCAGACACAGGCTTTTTTGGGAGGCTGTGCTCTCCCCAAACTTTCACCCCACCGCTCTCCTGGAACCACTGCCCACGGCTACAGGAGGACAGTCAAGGCTGCCCACGATCCAGGCCTCGGTGCTTCCTCAATGGGCTCCCGCCTTGGCCTGTTTTGGGCGATCTGAGCTCTTGCAGCGGGCCTTCCCCCACCCCATTTCCTTCGCAGGAGCTGTTCTCCCATCCCCCGGAATGGCTGCCTCTCTCCATTTGTCGGGCTTTGGGGTGGTATGGGGTATGTGTTATGTGCCTGGTATACTTGTCTGCTGAGTAGAGTGTGTGTATGGCCTGTGAGCAGTTGTGTGTGTGGTGTATGTGGTAGGTGTTTGTTGTGTGGGTATGGCATGGTGTACAAGGTACTGGGGGCCCTCCCGGTGTCCCCATTTGGCTGCTGCTGTCCCTGTCACAGTGAGGCCCTTGATTCTCTCTCTGGTGTTGTAATCCCAGCAGCAGGCCTGCTGGGGCAGCCAGTCCCCTGGGTGTGGATGAAGCTGGGTTGGGGGCAGGTGAGGGGAAGTGGAGGCCTGGAGTTACCCACGTCAGGGGTGAGGAGAGGCAGGACTAGCAGCACTGAGGGATTCCCAGTCTGAACCCAGGAAGAACAGCTCCTGGACTCGCTTGGGCCCAAAGGGTGGAGCATCCAGCCCCCTGTGCCCCTCTGCCGTCCTCCCTGCCCCCGCTACCCTCCCACCAGGACCCTGGGCTCTGTCCTATTTACCTGCCCAGTGGGCCACACGCCTCACCCTGCCCCTCAGCTGGACACCTCCACTGGCACCCCTGCAGAAGTGCCCACCGGGAACATCCTGCCCTTTGCCTACACGTCTAAGTGACATGTGGGTGCTGGCCTCGGGATGGGTTTGAGGGCAGGCAGGCCTTCTCCAGGGGCCCCTGAGCCCGGCTGCACTGGGGTCATGGCCCAGCTTCTTGTCAGGTCCTCACCTCTAGGAAGGCAGTTCTCAGTCATTACCAAGGGCCCGATATGCTGAGTCCCTTTAAACAAGTTGCAGCCTTCTTGAGGTACACATCCCTGGATGCTGACACTGGTTCTGATGCCCCCTGTGGAAGGAGGAGAGAGGGAAAGAGGGAGCCACTGCCCCTGGAGCCAGGCCCGCCCTCCCCCGGCCCTAGGTTCAGCGGCCCCCTTCCCCAAGGCCGATCTTGGTCCTCAGAACCCTTCCCCTGCCCCAGTTAGTGCCCCGCAGGGACCTGAATCCTGGCTAACCTCCGATAAACACCAGTTCCCCGTTCCAGCAGTGTGTGGTCCCGGCTGGGCAGGTCTCCTCTCTGGCAGACCTACAGCTTGTGGGGACAAGCAGACTGGACACCTCACGGACGCTGGGACTGGGGGTGAGACCGGAAGGGAGGGCTGAGGGATGAGGGCTCTGGACTGGGGTCGGGGGCCCTTTCCACACCTGCCTTTTGCTGGCCCAAGAATCAGCTTCCCTCTTCCACTCCCGAGTACCCACCTCGGTCTCCTGTCCTGCCGGCCTCAAGCTGGGCATTAAGGACGGCTGGCTGGGGAGGGGCAGAGAGGGAGGGGACAGGAGGCCTGGGGAGGGGCACCTCGGACTCAAATGCGGGGACACACGGGGAGGCACACTGTGGGAGGAAGCAAGGCTTCACCCCAAGTGCTGCTGAACAGTCCATGAAACTGGTAACCCAAGGTCACGAACTAGTCCACAGAGCACAGAGGATCTACACATCACCCCAAATCCAATTTGTGATCCCAGACAGGACAACGGGAAGTTACAGAATAATTTGCCGAGGAAGAGGTCACCCAAACCCTAAATAGCACATGCGTGAACCAAACCCAAAGGCAAGAGAATGGGCGCAGAGGCCAGGGCCGTGGGCAGAGTCTGAGCAGCTGGTGGGGGCTCAGGACTGACAGGAGCTGCACTCAGGGAGGGAATCCGGGGAGCGTGGGCGGGATGGAGGCAGGGGCGCAAGGACCTCAACCCTCAGCCCAGGTGCTGCCCCCCTGACGGCCCCCTCCCCTCCCCCTCCTCCCTGGGCACCTGTAGGGGAGGGCAGATCCCAGAGAGGGAGGGTGGTGGGGAGGTCACTGCAGGCATCCTGGCGGCACATGCGGGTGTAGGGGCAGACACGCCGGGGCCCGGGTTGTGCTTGGTGACGTGGGCCTCATGATCTGTGGCCTGGGTGCAGCCCTTGGTGAGCACTATGTACACCAGAGGTCCTGGATGGGGAGAGGGGAACATGCCACTGGGACTAGCCCTCGTGTGGCCTGGAGGGAGGCTCTGCATCCTGGCCTGGGCTGAGAGGCTGGAGAGGAGGCAGCTGGGCACCCACAGGGGGGCCTCCGCTGGGGAGGCGGACAGCTCTGGGAATGAGGACGGAGGTATCTTGAGTCCTGCGCAGAAGGCAGGTGGGACCGGGCAGGGACAGGGAGGTCTCTGCCCGGCAGAGGGGACTCTAGCATGGGGCCCGAAGGGCCTTCTCCCCATTCTCAGTGAGCACCAGCGTGTCCTGACAACCTTCATCTCCCTCACAGACTCTCTGGCCAGCCGTCCACTGGAGGGGCATTTGGGACATATATTCCAGAGCCTCGAATGTCCCCCATTGGCAGGTCAGGGCCTGCACTCCTGAGATGGGAAGGGCAGATCCATCTTGGCACACCCTGCAGGGAAATGCCCTCCCCAAGGAGGGGGTCCTCACTCACCAGGCCACATGAGGATGGCACCCAGGAGGGCCAGCAGGGCAGGGCTCATGGTCAGGGCTGCTGGGAACTCTCCACCCTGCTTTCTCCCGGGAAACCAAGCCCTTCCTATCTAGCCTCAGCCAAGGCAGCCCAGGAAAGGTGGGGGTGGGGGGTGGGTAAGGGTGGCTTGCTAAAGGAGGCCTGGGCTCAGCCCCCTTCGCCTACCCAGGAGCCCAGCCCCCAGCCCCTCCACAGACAGAAACTGAGGCCTCCTGGCCCACAGCCCCACAGCTCCGGCTGCCCAGCCCGCCTTCCTCCTGAGCCCGCCATTAGTTTCAGCGGGGTTTGAGAGGGCAGTTTCCTCATCTCTCATAGGAACCTGGCCACCTTCTGGCCCCAGGTGGGGAAGTGGCCCAACCGCCTATGAGGACACTGTGCGGTGGGCATCGGCCTCTCCCCGTCTTCCTACTCCCCTAACCTCTGCCCGCCAGAGTCCTACTTCTTCTTCATCTTTCCTGCCTATATTGCTCACCTTTTCCTTGGGTTTTCAGGAACTACCATCTGGCTCTTTCCTCTGCCCTCCCAGCACAAGTAGGACCAGGGTCTCCACTTGCCTCCACCCAGGAGGGGGCTGGAGGGCTGACTAAACACTTATGCAAGACTTGGGTTATTCCTTGATAACACCAAGTGTCTTTGCCAGAAGATGGAACAGCATGTGTGAGAAAACCACATTTTCAGAGAAGAGCATCAGCAAACCCAGCCTCGTGTCTTGGCCTATTTCTGTGGTGTAAATACTCCTACGTTGTCTCATCTTAAGCTACCAATAGTTCCAGAAGGAGCTTGGAAATTTCCTAAGTATTTAACAATCAGCGTTTGCAAACCAGGGCAAAGCAGCTCTAGCTCACTGGGTAGGGGAGACAGGGCAGGATCCGGGGCATTTGTCAGTGACGGCAAAGGCTGGATGTGGGGGTTGGAGGAAGACAGGGAGAGGAGAGAGGGGAGAACAGTAGTAGAGCAAATAGTAATGAACAGGTATTGAAATGTTTTTTTGAGAACTCCATGCATCTATAAAAATAGATGCCTATTTTTATTTGTGTTTGAAAATTTAAAATTTGCCACATAAAAACATGTTTCTCTTCTCCATTGTATCTATACTACTAAGCAATGTGAATTTAGTGTGGTCAGTAACTATATACTGTATGAATGAGTGAATGAATACAGATGAAAAGACGACCACAGAGCCCTCAGTAAGTCTGTACATTGTTGCTGTGTGAATGACGCCCTCCAGGTCTGCGTGGCCTTGAGCTTGTCCCTGGTGGAGGAAGGGAAAGGATGGGAACACAGGCACATAGGGTCCTAGGCAGTCAATGAAGCATCTTGTTTTTGTTAACAAATGTTCCCTGAAGCTGGACTTCATGCCAGGCACTGACCTAGGTGCAGGGATAAAGGAAGACCCCCAAGAATGAGGCCACTGCTTCTGTTGAGCTCACAGCGTAGTGAGAGACCGACACTAATCAAATACATGAGCACAAAAGGCAGTGCTGGGTTCTGGGTGGAGAATGAGAACCAGCTGATGGGACAGTAAGTGACTCAGCTGGGATCATGGAGGGCCTCCCTGAGGTGGTGACATCCGAGCTGAGAGCAGAATGACAAGGTAGAGCTTGCCCTGGAAAGGCATGTGGGAAGAGCATTCTAGGCAGAGGGAAGAGCAGGAACAGAGTCCCTGTGGTAAGATGAAGCATGGCTTCTGTGCGGATTAGAGAGAAGGTAACTAATTAGACTGTAGTGGAGAAGAGGAGAGTGATTGATGGTGAGAGTGGAAAGGCAGGCCAGGACCCAGCAGTGCAGGACAAAGTCAGGACATTAACTGCCCCTCCTTGAACTCCATCATCATCTTCTGTAAAGTAGGTGTGATGATTATCCACAACTAATCAGCTGTGAGGAGGATTAAGATCTGTAACCCAAAGTGTGTTCTCATTGAATGAGAAAAACAGTAAGTATTCTCAGCCCTTAAAATGTTCTAACTCTAACAGGTTCCTCACGGCTGGAAGGAAGCGTCGCGGCACAATCAGCCCAGCAGCTGGGAATCCCGGGGAACTCCGAGTGCCCTAACTCCGTGGGCAGCAGCACGGCTCTGAGGCTCCTCAGGGCGAATAACAGCCTCCCGCCTGTTCCCCCTCCGGCGTGGCTCTGCCATAACGGAGCAACAGCCTGAAAGCAGCCATGCCCACAGCAGCCACCCGGACCACACTCAGAGGCCCCGTCTCTGTACAGCTGCCCAGCACAAGCTGCTACGCATCGCTGTTCTCCCAGGAGAGAAGGCCACAAACCAGCAAGAAGGGACATTCTCCCAGCTGACACATGCGCCAACTCCCCACAACTACCTCTATCACCATGAAAAGGCAGAAGAATTTGATCCAGACCAGACTAACAGAGACAACCCCTGAGAAGGAGATTGGGGGGAGAGACCTAACCAATCTTCCTGAAAAAGAATTCAAAATAAAGGTCATAACCATGCTGATGGGAGCTGCAGAGAAAAATGCAAGAGCTAACGGACAAAATAGGGAGGGAGACTACAGAAATAAAACAATCTCTGGAAGGACTTAAAAGGAGAATGGACAAGATGCAAGAGGCCGCTAATGGAATAGAAACCAGAGAACAGGAACACAGAGAAGCTGATGCAGAGAGAGATAAAAGGATCTCCAGAAATGAAACGATATTAAGAGAACTGTGTGACCAATTGAAACGGAACAATATCCACATTATAGGGGTACCAGAAGAAGAAGAGAGAGATAAAGGGGTAGAAAGTGTATTTGAAGAAATAATTGCTGAAAACCTGCCCAAACTTGGGGAGGAAATAGTTGCTCAAACCACGGAAGCACACAGAACTCCCAACAAAAGGGATCCAAGGAGGACAACACCAAGACACATAATAATTAAAATGGCAAAGATCAAGGACAGGGACAGAGTACTAAAGGCAGCTAGAGAGTGGAAAAAGTCACCTAGAAAGGAAAACCCATCAGGCTATCATCAGACTTCTCAACAGAAACCTCACAGGCCAGAAGAGAATGGCATGATATATTTAATGCAATGAAACAGAAGGGCCTTGAACCAAGAATACTGTATCCAGCACGATTATCATTTAAATATGAATGAGGGATTAAACAATTCCCAGACAAGCAAAAGTTGAGGGAATTTGCCTCCCACAAACCACCTCTACAGGGTATTTTAGAGGGACTGCTTTAGATGGGAGCACTCCTAAGACTAAATAGATGTCACTGGAGAAAATAAAATCACAGCAAAGAAAGCAGACCAAATACTAACTAAAAGCAAAAAATAAAATCAAAAACCCACAAAAGCAGTCAAAGGAAACACAAAAGACCACAGAATAAAACACCCAATATATAAAGGATGGAGGAGGAGGAATAAGAAGGGAGAGAAATAAAGAATCATCAGACAGTGTTTATAATAACTCAATAAGTGAGATAAGTTAGACAGTAAGATAGTAAAGAGGCTAACCTTGAACCTTTGGTAACCACAAATGTATAGCCTGCAATGGCAATAAGTACATATCTTTCAATAATCACCCTACAGGTAAATGGACTGAATGCACCAATCAAAAGACACAGAGTAATAGAATGGATAAAAAGCAAGACCCATCTATATGCTGCTTACAAGAGACTCACCTCAAACCCAAAGACATGCACAGACTAAAAGTCAAGGGATGGAAAAAGATATTTCACACAAAAAAGCAGGTGTTGCAGTACAAGTATCAGACAAAATAAGACTTCAAAACAAAGAAAGTCACAAGAGATAAAGAAGGACATTACATAATGATAAAGGGGTCAGCCCAACAAGAGGATATAACCATTACAAATATATATGCACCCACCACAGGAGCACCAGCATATGTGAAACAAATACTAACAGAACTAAAGGAGGAAATAGAATGCAATGCATTCATTTTTAGGAGACTTCAACACACTATTCACTCCAAAGGACAAATCCACCAGACAGAAAATAAATAGGGACATAGAGGCACTGAACAACACATTAGAACAGATGGACCTAATAGACATCTATAGAACTCTACACCCAAAAGCAACAGGATACACATTCTTCTCAAGTGCACATGGAACATTCTCCAGAGGAGACGCCATACTAAGCCACAAAAAGAGCCTCAGTAAACGAAAAAAGACTGAAATTCTACCAACCAACCTTTCAGACCACAAAGGTACAAAACTAGAAATAAATTTTACAAAGAAAGCAAAAAGGCTCACAAACACATGGAGGCTCAAAAACATGCTCCTAAATAATCAGTGTATCAATGATCAAATAAAATTAGAGATCAAGCAATATATGGAAACAAATGACAACAACAACAACACAAAGCCCCAACTTCTGAGGGATGCAGTGAAAGCAGTATTAAGAGGAAAGTATGTAGCAATCCAGGTATAGTTAAAGAAGGAAGAACAATCCCAAATGAGAAGTCTAACATCACAATTATGGAAATTGGAAAAAGAAGAACAGATGAGGCCTAAAGTTAGCAGGAGGGACATAATAAAGATCAGAAAAGAAATAAATAAAATTGAGAAGAATAAGACAATAGAAAAAAACCAATGAAACCAAAAGCTGGTTCTTTGAGAAAATAAACAAAATAGAAAAGCCTCTAGCCAGACTTAAGAGAAAAAGATAATCAACACACATCAACAGAATCAGAAACGAGAAAGTAAAAATCATGACAGACCCCACAGAAATACAAAGAATTATTAGAGAATACTATGAAAACCTATATGCTAACAAGCTGTAAAACCTAGAAGAAACAGACAACTTCCTAGAAAAATACAACCTTCTAAGACTGACCAAGGAAGAAACACAAAATCTAAACAAACCAATTACCAGCAACGAAATTGAAGCGGTAATCAAAACACTACCCAAGAACAAAACCCCCGGGCCAGATGGATTTACCGCAGAACTTTATCAGACATACAAAGACATATTACCCATTCTCCTTAAAGTTTTCCAAATAACAGAAGATGAGGGAATACTCCTAAACTCATTCTATGAAGCCAACATTACCTTAATACCAAAACCAGGCAAAGACTCTAACAAAAAAGAAAATTACACACCAATATCACTGATGATCATAGATGTAAAAACACTCAACAACATATTAGCAAACTGAATTCAAAAGACATCAAAAGGATCATACACCATGACCAAGTGGGATTCATCCCAGGGATGCAAGGATGGTACATTCGAAAATCCATCAACATCATCCACCACATCAACAAAAAGAAGGACAAAAACCACATGATCATCTCCATAGATGCTGCATAAGTATCCGACAAAATTCAACATCCATTCATGATAAAAACTCTCAACACAATGGGTATAGAGG